TCTTTACGCTATCTTCGTATTTTTGGATTCTTTTTTCATTTTGCTTTTCTGGTTGGGTGTTTTCTGCTTCTTGGCATTCTTATTTTATATTCTGTAATGTCTGATTTCAATATCTGAATTCTCAGAGGCGAAGTTCTGTTGTCTCTGCTGACTCCCGGTGGCCTGGTAGTTTTCGCCGGTGAGCTCGTGTGAGCCCTGGGTGTACCTGCAGGGGCTCTCTGCCATGGGTGTGGGCACTCCTGCATGTTCTCGGGGGGCTTGTCAAAATGTGGTTCTTAAGTGCTCTCCACTTGGCCCACTTTTAGGGTTGTATCTGCTGTGGTCCAACTGCAGGCTTGTTTACCACTTGCTATAAAAAGCTCAGTGTGCCGTCTGTGACACAGCCCCCCTGCTTGCATGGCATTTGCCTGGGCCCCTCGTGTCACTCCTGTGGGACTGGGGACCAGGCCAACACAAAGCTCATGCTGCTTTGCTGTGCCATGAAGAACAAGTCCTGTCTCTGACCCAGGAATCTCACGACCTCAGCCAGCACCCATGAAACACTAAGCCTGATGGGTAAGTTGGGCACAAGCCCAGACTGGAAGCCAGTTTACTCCTGCAGACATGCAGAGCACCTCACCCCCAGCACAGGTCATGCAGCCAGTGCAGATACAAACTCTCCATCGCTGTGACACAGAGGGCAGGTTTGTGGTCACAAATCCCAGGACTTTTATTGCATTCTCCTGGGACCCCATCTGAATGCAGACAGATACCTTTTCCATAACCCACGAGGACCCGTTTCAATGCCCTGTCTGCGTGGACCCATAGTGTGACTGTACCACCCCTGGGCTGTACAAGCTGAGGGGTCCTGGCTCCCTCATTTCTGGCCCCTGTGAGCTCAACTGTGCACGTGAAGAAATGTGTGGTGTCATCTCCAGCGTTCCTACTGTTTGTGCTGAAGGGTTTTTCAGAATGCCCGCCAGTCCCTCACTGCTAGGAGCGCTACGTGACACAGTTCTATTAAAGATGATGCAAGATCATCTCCTGCCATCATCTGAAACAGAATGTTTTGATGATATTAAAGATTTAATTATCGTTCACCAAGCATTTAAAAAACCATCAACATGAACCTAGTACTGTGCTGTCTAAATATGGAAGGAATTATGAGCAAGGGGAGAAATTGGTTGAGACATCCTGCCTTCCCCACCTCAAGACTGTCACCAAACAGATGGCCTGGAAAGCCAAGTCCATCAGCATCCTCCGCGCAGCTTGCCATCTGTCTCTGGAAGTCACCTGTTGGCCTTAGGAGACCCATGGGAAACGAGCCTGGGCAGCGGCCAGTCTTGATGCAGGCTTACCTGTCTGGACCGTTCCAGCAGCACTCAAATTTGTCGAAGATGCAGTCATTTTCGTACAGAGAACACAGCTTGCTTCGAAGGTATTCGTGGACCTTAATGAGATCACAGGATGGTTAGAAAGCGTCATGTGTGAGATGTGGCGTGTCCTCGCACAGAGGCCTCACCTGGTGGGTCTCGACGGGCCGGCTTTCCATGTTCAGATCCCAGACCTTCACCGACAGGTAGTCTCGGGTCATCATGTACCGACCACTATGGCTGAATTTCACATCGGAGATGGAGGAAATTATTTCTGAGAAGAAAGACCTACTGCTGGGATCTTCAGGTTCTTCAAAAACTGAAAAACAGTATTTTCGACTTCTGTTTAGAAACTGGACAAATCACTTTGAAGTCCCAGCAGGACCTAGGCCCTCCCTGACACTTCAGAAGGCTACTGCTCAAGCTTCTGATCTCCAGGCACTTTCTGGTGTTCCACTTCTGTGCTTAAGACGTTTAGGCAGGCCTCTCAGTGCCAGAGAGCGACAAGGGGCAGCATCAGAAGCACGGGCCCCGATTCCACCCAGCTCAGGCCCAGCATGTCCATGCAGGAGGCCTCAACTGCTACCTGGAGAAGTTCCCCACGACATGCTGACTGTGTCCTGGGTAAGGCCCTGGGCTGGCTGGAGGCTGTTACTGCACAGACAGCTGCGTGTCCTTGTGGCTCAGGCCCTAGCAAACATGCCCAGCCTTGCCCCGTCCCTATCACTGGAAGTTAAGAAATGGCATCACATGAGAACGCAGGTGCCAAGCTCAGGGCGGCTGAGAAAGTGCCCCCACATCTGCTGAAGGTTTGCCGTTCCAGCAGCTCAGACATCCTGTCTTCCCCACCTCAAGACTGACCACAACCTCCACATGGTCCAAGTTTCAATAACCACCCACTTCAAGGTTTGTTTTCACTACTCCATGGTCATGATCTACTGACAAAACTGGATCGCTACTTTCAGGAAGGTCCTCATCTTCCTTGGCAAATCTTACTGTCTCCCAGTTCTGCTCTCTCGGCAGTGAGTCCATGGTCTTCCACCCGTGGCGTCATGGAGGCTGCGCCTGCACCCGAGCCCTGGCACTGCCATGCTTTCAGCTCAGTCACCTTTGGGCAAGGAGGTCGGCATGTTCTTTCATTTTAAGCTGCTTTACTTTTTTTTCGAACCTGTACATTTGTTGGCGCTGTTTGGAACAGGACGGTTTTTACTGGGGCACACCTCAGGATCCTCCAGCAACATCTCCATAACATACATCACATCCTCAAGACATGTAGGATGATTTTCTATAAAGTTGGGCCTATTCTTAATGGGTAAAAATAAAATGAACCCACAACTTTCTTTACCTAGGAGAGTCAAGGCTTGGGATTGAAGTGCTAGACTTTCCTGAGAGACTGGCTGCCAGTCCAATACAGCTAACAGCTGAGAAGGGTCACAGGGCAAATGCATCCTGGAGGCCCAACCCAGGTCCCTGTGACGATGCACCGAGATCGGGGGCAGAGCCAACCTGTGGTGGCTCCAACACGAATGTCTCTGGGAAGCAGGACCTCTTGGCAATGGCCCATGACTGATGGAACCAAGGAGGCCACAAGTGGGCCCAAGCGTGGGGGCAGAAGAAAACCTTCAGCCTTTGCACACACTCCAGAGTCTGGACAGGATTTAAATGAGCTGTTTCCAACAGGCGGGCACTTACACTTAGAGTGTCGGTCGCATAGGGCCGAGGAGCGCATGTCACATAGTCGGATGGTCCCCTTGCTGCTGCTGTACACAAACACATTGCACTGGTGTGGATGGAACTCTGCTGCGGTGATCACCTCCGTCAGCTCCTCCATGTTGGCGGGCTTAATGTCCACGATGTCTGGAAGCGCGGTTAAGGCAGAGCGCCTGGCGGTTTTAGTTAGTCCATGTCAAGCAAGGTTCTCCCCGCAGTGAGGATTAAGAGATTAGCTGTGAGGGAGCCCTTCAGTAAGAGGATCCACACGGATGCATTAAGCAGACTAGGATAAGGGGCCTGACAGGGCTGGACACACTGACACACACACACACACACACACACACACACACACACACTCTCTCTCTCTCTCTGTCTCTGTCTCTCTCTCTCTTACCAGTGCTGCTTTCCTCCTGTTGCTGCTTCAGATGTTTTATGAAGCCTTCATATAGATCACACAGATTTAATAACATAAATAAGAAAAGCAAGCAAGCACCCACCTGCACGAAAATCTCATGCTCTATCCATAAATAACCACACACACACATATATACCACACACGGTATCTCCAATTTCCAAAAGATTCTGCTTTCCCAAGTATCTGACATCCAGAACTTGTGCTAAACAGTCACCCAGGGTCACATAGTAGGTCGCCAAGTATAGCCATCACTGTAGTGAAAAAACAAGAGCAGACGCTGCCTCTCAGATGTGTCCTGCCACACTGAGAAAGCTGACACCTGGGCGACAGCATGGCAGTGACCCCAGGGCTGTGCAGGGAGGGGACCCAAGGAAGTTCCGGGCATGAAGCCGTGAGTGCCAGAGAAGACTCCCAGCAGGCACAGGGCAGCTGGAGCAAGAACCAGGGCCACAGATGAGAGCGCAAGGCCCAGCTCTTAGCTGGCCAGCTCAGAAGCAGGGAGCCCAAAGGCACACTGAAGGGACAGTGGTCACCGGAGGAGCCCCAGGGCGGCTGTCAGAGTGCAGAAGGGGCAGGGACAGGGCACTGGGCAGGCGGCTGAGCATCTGGAGAAGCACATTAGTCCCTATTTCTATCATGTGATTAGATCAAAACTATGTCTACAGTGTTCATAGAAACAACTAAGTATAACAAAGTATGTTTTATAATCTCTGTCACAGGAAAGGGTGTGTGAAGCATGATTATGGGACAACCATTGTTTAATAGGCAATGAAAGGTACGATTGTATAAACCTAGCTGATTTGGTTCAGTGGATAGAGCGTCGGCTTGCGGACTGAAGGGTCCCGGGTTCAATTCTAGTCAAGGGCACATGCCCTAGTTGCGGGCTCGATTCCCAGTAGGGGGCATGTAGGAGGCAACCAATCAATGATTCTCTCTCATCATTGATGTTGTCCTTCCTCTCTGAAAGCAATTAAAAAATATATATATGTAAAAGATATGATTGTATAAACAAACCCTTTGTGTATTAGAGTTCTCACAGATCATTAAGGGAAAACAGGAGCTTCCAACAGGAGAAAAAATGACAAAGGACAGTAAAAAAATAAAAAAATGGATATTAACTTAATAGAGATATATGGCTCCAAAGACTGTTACATATAATACAGGAACACGTGTATAATTAGTCCTGCAATTGTAAGTCTGTACTCCCACTGACATGGAAAGATGGTCATGTTAAGAAAAAAAATGAGGTTAGGTGGGGTGAGGCAGAAGAGAACAAAGGGAGGAATAAATGGTGATGTAAGGAGACTTGACTTGAGGTGATAAATACACAACCCACTATACAGATTATGTATTGTAGAACTGTTTACCTAAAACCTATATACTTTTATTAGCCAATGTGAACCTAGTAAGTTCAAATAAAAAATAAACGAGGCTAATAGCCATTGCATCACTCTCTCTAGTTTTTACAATAACCCCAAGAGGCACATTCTAGTCCCTCACACCTTTACAGAGGAAGATGCCAAGGTCACTGAGCTGAACTTGGGCCTCCTGATCCTCCCGGGTGCTGGGAACTTTACTATCACTGTGTAGAGAACGAGCCTGGTGTTTTCAAAACTTAAAAACTTGTGCACAGAGGCATAAAACGCTTGGAAGGATATGCATCCAACTACTTACAATGGCATCTCTGTTGAGCTGGACTATGGGGGCAGAATCTTCCTTCCTCTCTATATTGTTTCAATTTTATTCAGAAGAAGAATGATTAAAAATCTAAGGGTTTAGAGAATAAAGAAAAAGCAGGGCATGAGCATAAGTATAAGTATCATAACTTGGGAAGTTTTGCCCAGTTGAAGAAAGAAGAGAACAGGGGAGCCAGGCACACTGCTCCTTCCCTAGGTGGGGTGGGGCACTCGAGGGCCGGCCTCCTCTAACTGTGACACCACAGAGACCTCTGCACTGTCTGTCAGACAGCTTCATAAACTAAGTAACCACGTGAAAAAAACCATCATCTCAAGTCAAGGACAACAGCTCATAAAAATTAAGTGTGAAATGCTAGAATTTAAAGTCGTATAGACTCCATTTCCTGAGATTTATGTGAGTAAAAGGCAGATAGGCACATGCCAAACCATGAGCCTCAGCACAGCAGTAGTCAAGACTGCTCTGGCCGGCTGGACAGCCAACACTCCAAAATGTGGAAAAATGTGACTGAAGCTACTTGATTTCATAGGGTCCTTATTTTCTGGGAAAATCAGTAACTTTTAAAATGTGTGATCAGACAATAAATTTAGATTTTCATCCTGAAAATGATAGCATATATCACTTAAAGGATGAATTTTTTACTATTCCTTAAATTGCATGTCTTCCACGATCAGTCACTTCTGGGGTTGGGTACTTAAATATCATTCTAACCAAAGCCAGTACTTCCTATTAGCAAATTTAGTAACACCTCTCCTCCCCGCAAAAGCAACGCTGAACTTTCAAATACATACTACATAAAACTGCTATGATTTAACCAGGAAGCAATGGACTTGAGATCATGCCCAGCAGTGGAAACTTTTCCCAAAGGTAGAAAACAGTTCCATTTCAAGGAACAGACCCTTTAAACCATAGAGAACTTACATCCCTGGCTGCCAGGCAGCAAAGACTGGAGGGGGGTATAGCGCTGAGAGCTCCCTATCAAAGAACAAGCCTAGGAAAGTGCGAGACCCGCCCGATGAAGGATACTAAAGCTTCTATCTGTGATCTCTAAATGCCACAGATTAATTCTCAGGTCATCTGCAGAAAGATACGTTTCATGATCACTGTTTACGGAAATGGAATTTATATGGTATGTGTGAGCATTTGCAAAAATTCG